CTCATTAGCAGCGTCGGGAGAGACGACTAAAGAGCAATTTACGTCACCGCTAACGTGTTTTGATTCTCAGGGCAACCAGCTTAAACATTCTTTTCTATATTCCCCATTGTGCCCGGTTAATCTACTAGGCCGAGACCTTATGTGCAGACTCAATTTAAATCTGCTCTCAACACCAAGCGGCCTACGGGTGGTACACGCTGGTGAGCTAGCAAATGCTCCATGTTTCACCGGCATGCATGAGGAGACACCGGTCCCAAAAGTTAACTACCACTGGAAATTGACACCAAACCCTGAGATTGCTAAGCTATTAGCCACAACAAGTGAATAGAGTTACGCCCGCACAAAATTTGGAGGTCAACCACGCGAACGACCTAAGCTGCTCTCTCCGGTCGTTCCCAGACAATAACTTGGAGTTTGAAAATTCATGCAGTGTAGGGAAGATAGGCTAACGGAGTACGTTTATTGAGATAGGCACCACTATCTGTGCTACTTAATGAGCAACAAAAACATTTTTATCGTGAAACAAAGGTGAAGTATTAAAGTTTGAGACTAATTTACATTTTTAATGAATCCGACCTGGCTTTATTGAAAAAGAAAAAATAAGGAAAATAAACATTTTTAAGGTGACAAGAGCTCATTAGAGATATAGGGGACACCATTTGTGATAAGCCCGACTACAGACCACGTGGTAAACACTAAAGTTGGAAATGGATTTCTTTTTTTTAGGAAAAATCTCTTAAAAAGCTTTGCATGTTCTGCAGGCTCTGAAAGTTGCAACAATATAAATAGCTCATGAGACAATTGTAATTGGACATGGAAAATATAACAAAGTTAAAATTACAGGCCTTCTGTGTGTGTTACATGTTTGTGTGTTATATGTTTTGTGTATGTTATATGTTTGTGTGTCATGTCAAAGTACACTACGTTGACCTTAACAAACTCTGGACCAATACTAACGTGGGGAATCGGCCTGTGATGTGACTGTGATATGAGTGTGATGTGTGAAATGAGGAATGCTGAACGGAATCATGGAATAACAAATGTGTCTGTAATGTTTTAATGTGATCATGGAATAATTATTTTTTTGTCAACAGCATACGGTGTAAGTACTAGAGATTCAAAGATAACGACCTTTATTGAACAGGTGTAAAAGTGAGAGTACTCTGGGATGAGTACTCTGAGAAAAGTACTCTGCGGAAAGTACTCGGAGATGAAATACCTCGCTGAAGATATTGGGAGTTCCTCCCTCTGCTGTTTGCCCTGACAGTGATTCGGTCCAACCGCAGTGAGCTGTCGGTGGTTGAAGGACAAGTTTGGTTGGTAAACTCACATTTAGGAGAGTATAAAATTAGAAACATACATTTTGTTGTTCTGTATCTGGCTACAGCCTCCGCCCTGATGTCACACACCGTCTGTCAATGCAGTTATGTTTTGCCCAATTGGAAAAAAGATTGACAAGCGAAAGTGGGCATTTTTTTGTGTTTTTTTGTGTTCTAATATTTCTTTTTCAGATGAGAGATAAACTACCCCTGCTTCAGGGATGACAGTAGTATGGATCAGGAGGAAATGAGCCTCCACTTTGGCACAAAAGCCCACAAGATGAATTAAGAACGATCCGGGAGAAAAGCAACTGGAGATGAACGGAACAGCAAATCTACACACACACACTAGGTCTCCCTGACCCAACCTGGCCATTCACTCAGACTGTGGATGAGCGATGTGGGTGCATGGTGTCGGTACTTTTGCAGTCTCACGGAGGGCCACTGAGACCCACTGCTTACTTCTCAGCAAAACTCGATCCCGTGGCAGCAGGGTTGCCTCGCTGCCTGCGGGCTGTGGCTGCCGCTGAGAAAGCGGCCCTAGCATCACGTGACCTTGTGGGATACACTGAACTAACTTTGCTTGTGCCCCATGCTGTTTCCCAGATCCTGCTAGAGCAGAGGGCCTCTCGCCTTTCTGCGGCTCGTTGGCTGAAATACAACACGGTGCTCTTTGAACTACGGTGAAAAGATGCACACAGCTGAACCCCTCCTCACTGCTGCCCACGCCATAGGAAGGGGAGGCACACTGCGGTATCGCCACAATAGAACAGAGATGCACTCCCAGGCCAGACCTGAAAGAGGTGCCTCTGACTAATCCTGACTTGATTTTTTTATACAGACGGAGCCGCGTCACGTGACAACACTGGGAAGAACCGAGTCGGCTATGCTGTGTGTTCTGATTTTGATACTATAGACTCTGGTAGTTTGCCCCACTACCATTCAGCACAAACCGCTGAACTGGTCGCGCCCACCGGGGCTTGTGAGCTGGCAGCGGGCAAAACTGTTAACATATTCTGTGATACGCGTTATGGTTTCTCTGTGGTGCACGACTGGGAAGCACTGTGGAAACACCGCAATTTTATGAAATCTGATGGTAAACCAATTCTTAATTCCACACAGGTTGAACGTCTGCTGAGAGCTGTAATGTTGCCCTTAGAGATCGCTGTATGCAAATGCCAGGCCCACACTAATGCCACTGATCCCATCTCTGCAGGGAATCGGCGCGCGGACAAGGCAGCGGCATACGCACCTCTACACACACACACACACTACCTCACTCAAGACGTTGATATTTTCTACTCCAGCAGAGACGCTGCTGTGGGAGGGGAATGGGGCTCAACGACGGCATGGTGTGTGTGGCTGGGACCAGACAGCAAACCGTGCCTACCACGGCATTTCTTCAGACATTTTGCAATTTTAGCACATGGCCGAGACCATGCTTCGAAAGGAGGGATGTGTGATTTAATCACACAAAATTGGTATACAAAGGGGTTTACGGCATTTGCACAGAGATTCTGCCAAACATGCGCTATATGCCTCGCGCACAACCCAGGTAAGTCCCAAAAGTATCCAACAGGCTGCTCATCCTCCGCCCCTGCGCCCATTTCAACATGTCCAAAGGGACTTTGTTGAACTCACACCATGCCAAGGTAAGTAATACTGTCTGGGCCTGGCGGATCTCTGGTCCAAATGGACTGAATATTTGCATGCAAACACGCCACGAGCAACGCGGTGGTGAACGCTCTGCTCACAGAAATTGTGCCACGATGGGGTGTCCCGAGGGAAAATCTCTAGTGACACTGGCAGCCACTTTGTAGCAAAAGTCATTGAGGAAGTGGGTGAATTTCTGGGCATTGATATACGTAAACACTGCAGTTACGCCCCCTGGTCCGGAGGCACGTGCGAGCGAGAGAATGGCACTCAAAGCTCTGCCGCTAGCCCCACGTTGGGCGCGGGACCCCCGAACAGAGATCTGCCAAGCACCTCTTTGTGTGATGACGACATGCTGTCCTATTGTAAGGAAATTAATGCACTTTTGTCCTCTATTTCTGCCCAGGTCAGGAGCGCCCTGCCACAGGCTGCGCAGGCGACTGGGTCCTGGTGAAGGAAACGAGACAAAAGCACTGGCGGTCCAAGCGCTGGCTCGGCCCATTCCTCGCCCTCCTGGTGACGGACACTGCCGTTAAGGTCGCGGAGAGGACAACTCGGATCCACGCCAACCACTGTCGTGCGGTGCTGCCACTGAGGGCCATAGACGAGGACACCGAGGGCGCGGACGGACCAGGCCCATCCGCGGCTCCCTACGCTGAAGAAGTCGGCCGGCGTGCGGCCACCGTCGGTGAAGCAGGCCAACAACAACACCCAGAGAATCCCAGCGTTCCCGAGGCGACCCCCCTTCTGCCCAACTCCCCAGCCCCCGGATCCCAAGGCTTGGGAGCCATGAAGGCCCTGAGCGCTCTGCTCAGCTGCAGCAAGTATGCAGAGCTGCTGCCCATTCCAAAGATTTCTCCAGAGCTTGCTCCCTCTGGCCATAATGCAGATTTGAGCTCTGCTGGAGTGCCCCCTGGTGTCTCGTCTCCCGTGTGTCCGGAGGAGGTGGAGATGAGGCCTGCTCTACAGTTCCTGATGAGGCACATGGTGAAGCGTGCTGTCATGAGGTCTCCCATCAAACGAGCTTTGGGCCTGGCCGATCTGGAGCGTGCTCAAGCCATGGTCTCCACACCCCAAACCCCGAGCACTCTGCCCAACCGAGTGCTGAGGCCAAGGCTTCAACGCAATTAGAGTCTTGCCGCTCCAAGACCAAACATCGCCATGACCACTAACGCTCCACACACGCTCATAGGGAGCGGTGCCACTGACTGCGAGACGGCACTGCTCGTGAGTATTCCCGCGGAAAAGACTACCGAACGTAGCCCGGCTAAGACCGGCATGGGCCCTTGGACTGTTATGCTGGCCACACTGACACTACTTTCCGTGCTGACCGTGTTCATTATGTTAATATTGCCTTCTCTTATCGCTGTCCGGATCCATTGTGTTATTATAATGTGCTCTTTCTTTTATTGACAAGCATGTTTCTTTTCTTGTCCACTTTGGACAGCAATAATTTAAGTGTTTCAAGCTTGAAGGTGGTGTGATTACGATGCCTCTGGTATTTAACTGATTAATGCAAAAATGGTTTTGAATTATCAAAAGAGGGGGAGTGTGGTGACAGTTTTTGAGTATAATTACATAAAACCAGCCGCAGCAAATACACGGACGTCAAAGGCCTTTTATCAATGCAGAGACGCCCTTCTGACGATGCTGAGCTTTGTGAGGGCCCCCTGCTGTCTGTCACACCCTTGTGTCTTTCGCATCTCGCATCTGTATGCTTGCATCTTCTACCATTGTCTGTCTGTTCGCACCGTCATGCCCTGTGTCTGATTGCCTCACCACAGGGGCATGACGCCTGCGCTTCCTATGCGCCTCCTTCACCGGTGGCCCCCTCCGATCTGTTGTGGGCGGGACTGTCTTTCGTGTGTGTCTTGTAATACAGGAAACTCGGGGCTCTGGCTCAGAGCTGATGCATGCTGCCTTTGTGTGTATGAGCTCTCCGCACGTGCGTTAACAATAAACTTACGCTTTTGATCAGACAAAGGACCTTTGAGTTTTCTCCTTCATGGGGTATATAATTCTACAACAATGATCAAGGCAGAAGAAGAGGAGTTTGTGTCAGTGGAGGGAGAGGAGCAGGTCAAGGAGGGAGAGGAGGGAGAGGAGCAGGTCAAAGAGGGAGAGGAGCAGGTCAAAGAGGGTGAGCAGCAGGCCAAGGAGGGAGAGGAGCAGGCCACGGAGGGAGAGGAGCAGGTCAAAGAGGGAGAGGAGCAGGCCACGGAGGGAGAGGAGCAGGCCACGGAGGGAGAGGAGCAGGCCACGGAGGGAGAGGAGCAGGCCACGGAGGGAGAGGAGCAGGTCAATGAGGGAGAGGAGCAGGTCAAAGAGGGAGAGGAGCAGGTCAAAGAGGGTGAGCAGCAGGCCAAGGAGGGAGAGGAGCAACATGCATTATGAATGCAAGGGAAATTTAGGTACCCCAGCTTTAATTGCTGAGTTGTAGTTTCAGGGCTACAGGAGACACGGGGACACTTCCAGAGGCTCACATAGTTCAGCTGTATTTCTCACAGTGCTGTATTTATCGTGTCCACAGGTTGTCCAAAGATCCGCACTTGTCCTGTCAGCGCCGGTCACTATTTGGCGCCCCCCCCACACTATTTGAGAAGCACTGCCCTAAACATTGTGTTTTCAATTGTTACTGTACTGTAGAATCTATTGTGTGTCATGGATCCTCCATGGAGTTACTCATGTTTGCATTGAGTTGTGATATAACTGCATTTTCTACTTTATGTACTGTAACTATTCTCATGAAACGCACAAATCTATAGTAAATGCCCAAAACATTTGAGAATTAAAAAAGTGTTGCTCAAATGCATCCTGGCAGTTGTGAAACCGTAAAAAGAACAGTCTCACATTCTGAAAATTGTGTTTTAAATTGTTTTGGTGATGTGGTTATTGATGCTCATAGTGTTCACATTTTTGCAGACCATGAGAGGTATTTTGGTGTGATGCGTTGGTTTTGAGAATATGAGAAACTGTTTTGGTGTGATGGGTCGGTTTTGAAAAGAGACTGTTGTTGTGTGTACGTAGCTTTAGAAAAGAAGTTTGTGTTTAGAGTTTTGAGAAAAGGGAGGGCAGTATCGTGAAATGTGTTTAAGCAATAGAGACAAAATGTAAACATAATACAGTACATACTTAAATCTTTCAGTAATAGCAGCAGTATTCACTGCTAAACAAAACTGTTTTAAACAGGGTTTGACATTGACAGAGTAAAATCTTGTCTCATATTTTCAGGAAGACTGTTCCAGATTTCAGCAGCATAAATGTGAAAAGTGTGACTCTCCATGTTTACGGCTGACTCTGGGCTCCATCATCTGCATAGTTGTGCTAGGACATGTTTTGACTGCATATTATGTCGCTTTTTCACAGTAACGGAACGGTACAGCACGGCGTGGCACGGCACGGTTATTTTGCATTTCCACTAGGGTTGGGATTGGGATAAGGGTACTTTTTTGTACCACCTGATTGCCTTACACTGATTACACTTATACTGATTTGTCAACGAGTGTCGTCACTAGAAGCGATGGCCGACCCTATGGTAAAAACAACTCAACCCCCGCCATCTTTAAAACCAGCTGCTCTGCTACAACCTTGGATTTATAATGGACTATAATGCGTCCTCCTCACTCAAGAGAAATGGAATCGCACAGAAAGCCCCAAAAGTCAGCGTCCTGGTCGGTCGACGAGGTCCACATGTTACTCTACGGCGAAGGAAGAATTTAAAGGCAGCTCGAACACACAACACGTAACGAGAAAGTATTCATGGAGATCGCCCAGCTCTTGATCTAGAAAACACTGGTTAGCTACAGTAAGGCCTAGGATTGCCCCCTGGGGTGCTCCGCATGGATTTTTGTTGGTAAACATATTTTCAACACAAGACACACACAGGTCCAGGAAAGAATAATAAAAAACAATGACAATCTGAACAAAACAACAAAAAAATTGTTACAAACAATCTAAGAAGTAAAATATACATCTACATTATCATAGCCTCTCAGTTTTATTTTCAACCTTTGTGATTTTCTGAAAAAGTAGCAGCTTTTTATGATTTATTTTCAGTTTTACATCAAGTGCACAGAAATACAATCCTTGTGTTTAACTGTTTGACTATTCGCCTTCTGCTATTTCGTAGTCTTTTCGTGTTGTGACTTGTGAACCTTTTTTGCCACAAACACTTCAAACTGCCTTGGAAAATCTAACTCTTTGGACTCATTTAAGCAAGTGGTCCACTCCTCGGTGTGTGTTGGATTTCTTGCACGAAGGCCCTTTAGTCATTAATAGGTTTTTGCGGTGCAGTCTGCCTCAGTACATGCGGACAGTGGAGTGATTTAGCCTCAGCGTGATCATTTTATCATTGGGCCAATTATGTGGTAATGAGGATCTGCATCATATATATCCGTACACCAGCACCTCCAAAATCATGAACATGCAACACACACGCATGCAAGTGGTGAGCAATGGCTGTGAAAGGGAAGACACTGAAGCATGGACATTACCATAGCATGATGAATGACTAGTTTCCCCGTTCGCAGCCGTGCAATATGTTTTAATACGTCCCCTCTCTCCAGACTCTGCTGCCTTATAAGGGACTCTCTTATCCTTTATTAAAAACCATTAATTATAGTGACAAACTATTGGTTGTCTTCCTCAGTTATGAGAAAGTATTAGGCAAGAAAAGTAAACATTGGATTGAATTGTGATGTTGTGACAAATGGTCTGAAACTATTGATTGCGTCGCTTGTGACTAATAAGTCTTAAAATAAAAAGGGTCATAAAACAGGTCTTGCGATATCCGTTTCTCCAAATGGATTTTTCTGCCATAGAATAAATGAACCATATTTTACCTACTGTAATGAAAATAGATGGTTAGCCCTCTATTTTGAATGAAAAAAATCTGATATTTGGGGAAAATTATCATAGTATTGTATAGAAATAGTGATATACAAACCTGACTTTTATTTTTAGAGCGAGAACTTCACAGGCAATGCATTCTCAGATGTTGCAAACATTAGCCAGCAGTAGTAAATAAAGCTGACCCAGGGAAGACATACTTAGTCCCTGAACGACACGGGAAAAGGGCAGGATTTCGGAAAATCATGTGTTCCTGATGTCTGGTGAGTTTGTTTAATGACTCCATCATCATGCATCTTATTATTACAGACCAAAATACCTTACACCGCAGGGAGAATATTCGTTGCTGTTGTAAAGACTAATGGGGATTCAATGAACAAATAAACAAAATGAAATCTGGAGGTTTCCCCAGTGTCACCTGCTGCACAATAGGTCACACACAGAATGAGAGAATGGCAGCTTAATTGCATCTGCTTATGTTATTATTATGTTGTGGGATAGTTCAGAGAGAGAGAGAGAGAGAGAGAGAAGGTGTATGCAGTGGAGACAGTGGAAACAGTGTACTTGCAGCATGTTGTACTTTCCAATAGTTTTCCTCATTCATCATCAGGATGTAAATGAAATACACCACGTCCTCTGTTATGTATCACAAACAAAACAGCGAGATGCTCAGGAATGATGGAAGTGGATTTTGAGGCTGGCAATAAGCTTTTGTCTTGTCAGTGTCACTGCAAAACTGTCCTCCGATCGGATCCAACTCTTGTGATAAATTGTGTTTTGTTTTATTATTCAATTCTGAATGTAGTTCTTGTCTGATTACTCTAGACTTATGTTGATATTATTTTGATATATAGACAAGTGCTGTACCCATCACAAAGTGCTTTGCAAACTTTGTGCAGGCTGATGTTTTGTCAAAGAAAACCAGATGAAGAGGGAGATGCAAATGTATTTGTGATCTATATGGCATAATTTTCCAGAGGGATAACACTGTATACTTTTCATCAAATCCATGCAGATGGCAAAAGCAATTCAGTTTTGTGCTCATTTGTGTTTGGCCGTTGGCAAAAGCGTTTCATTTCGTTTCACAACATCGATGCATTAAAGCAGGAAAGTTAGAGAGAATTTGAAAAACATTTTTACCTTTATAAACCAGCAGCTCTGATCAGCATTCTCTTAAAGTCCCTTCCACACACACACATCCACAGCTCCTTATCAATGGCGTCCAGAGGGGTCGATGGTCTGCAGATCCCACCTCTCCTATTATGGTCATGGGCAGCTCATCCACAGTGGGAGGATTGGTGAGAATGAGGCACCTTCCACAATCAGCCACACAAATTTATCGAAAGTCCTCAACTGGGAAATGAGATGGACAGCTTTGCCAGTCATTTTGTGAGCATCCATGGAACACTCCTCTGTAATATGCCTCTGGTCCGTTTTACCTTCCCCTGATATTTGGAGTAATTTTCCATTTGCAAAGCTGCCTTTTGGAGATAAAGACGGAATGCCACCCAAAAGCTTTTCCCAGAGTATGGGACTTTCGCCTGTTTTGGTCTATCCCACAATGATGGCTTCCAGTGGCTGTGGAAAGCTAAGTTATTCATGCCACATTCGTATTCATTTATAATTTTAACTTGGACGTGGAATGACAGGAAAAAGTGGAAAATGTGTTGAAATGTAAATTTTTATTTTGAGATTTGTAGAAGTGATGACAGAGAAAACTCAAGTCTTATTGTGGCACCACCTGCATGTGAAAGCTAGATACTGTCTAATCTTGGATGCTAAGCAGGGTAGGGCTTGGTTAGTAGTATGATGGGAAATCTCTGGGAACATTCAGTGCTGCAGTGGGACAAATGCGGCTAAAGTACAAAACTGTCATTGTATTCGTAGGTAAGACACTTCACTCACAGTGGCTAGTATGACTGGTGAATTATTGAGGGGGGCTGAAGGAGGCGATGGCACAGATTAGTGGGCTTCTTTCTGTCAGATTTCCCCAGGGCAGTCAATTCACCATCACTGTGTACAGAGAAAACTAATAAAATATTCATTCTAATCTTTTTTTTTTTTTTTACAATTAGCTCTTGTTAACATTAACGCTAATTCTTGTTTTATGCACCTTTACTCTAGAAACCAGAAAAATTGCACACTTTGCTCCTGCCGTTTGAATGTTTATCAACAGTTAATCTAAAAATGTAATAATACACAATTTTATGTTGAAGTCAAACACAATTTTATAATCGTTTTGTTGTTGTTGTATGTATTCTGTAATTTAAACCTTTTGTACCCCAATATTGACAAAGACAATAAAACACTGCTTGAAATACAACTATGTGTTACATGGCTGTTTTATTTAGCAGACATGTGTTACTTGCACTTAGTGAGATGAAACTGTCCATTGTTTATTTTGCCAGATCTTCAAAACATACATGTCGGGCTTTTAAAGTGTGAAGCGTTGTTTGCACACGGAGCAGAGATGAGAGGTTGTGCCATCTGGCCTCACTACGACATCCCAGCTCCTCAGCCATCCGCCCCATCCACACCACACACCG